AAGCCTGTTATTTTGAAATAATGGGCTTGTTATTCTGAAATAACAACTCCGGCTTATAAAGAGGAATAAACTTATTTCAGAATAACCTGCTAGCATAGACACAGCCTTGCTTCTGGAAAATACCGGCTTGTAAAGAGGAATAAACTTATTTCAAAATAACCGGCTAGCATAGACACAGCCTTGCTTCTGGAAAATCCAGCTTGAACCATGCCCAGCAGTGGAAGTTCTCTGGAGTTGTGTACAATTGCAGGGTTATCACTCGTCCTGGTTAAGTTTGTGTAAGAGCTGTGATAATCCTTCTCATTGCAGTAGAAAAATGTCATGTATAAACCATTCATAAATACAATGCAGTGATCCCGGAAGCTGACGTGTGGGGTGGCATTGTCTGTCTCGAAGAGGAAAAAGTGCTCCTGATAATACGGGGTGGAGTTAAATGTGTAATTTTCCAAGGTTTGACGAAGAGGCAGCATGCATGTGATTTTTATTTTGCACTGCTTAGAGGTTTCTCTGTCCCTTATATTAGGCTAGGAGGGATTCGATTTTTAGCAGACAACGTGGTTAAACATCAATTTTACATTGTGCATCCACCCTAATGAAAACACCTTTCCACTGCTAACTGCCATCAACAGGCAAAGTAAGAAAAATGCTGCTGGAGAACTCTGAGTTGGATTGCAGGATATTTACATTGTACATTTTGACACGAGACATTGACAGTTTGTTTTAAAGGGAGATAAAAGGCTCTAACTTTTTGATTCTCAATTTCTCCTGTCATTACATAAGAAGTGTCTGCCTCATCTCCCATTTCCTGCAACTAGGAAAAATGCACAATTAAAAAGAAATGTAAACCCCACACAGTTTTGCTCACCTCTGAAGCTTTAAATAGACAAAGAAAGCAAAATGGCTCAGCATTAAACATCGCTCTTACCCAGCAAAAATTTTAAAAATTAAATTCTACCGAGCCTAGAATTTTACAATTCCAGAATTTCCCAGTGCTCTAGAAAATTCCAGCGCTTCTACAATTCCAGAATTTTCCAGTGCTCTAGAAAATTCCAGTGCTTCTGCAATTCCAGAATTTTCCAGGGCTCCCTATGGGTTAGTAAGGAGGCCTGTGAGAGCACTGGATGCAAGTCCAGGTTTTCATGTAGCATGAATGCAGGCGATATTTTAGTCGAAAGAATCACTAACGGTGTTTTGTCTATTTTAGAGCTGAGTTTACTCTGGATTAATTGCAGCTGGATTTGCTCTGGAGCCACAGTTGCCACTCTCTGGTGCTTACCGGAAGATGAGTCTCCTCCTGTTTAAGAGCCCCACTTCCTGCCCTGCAGGGTGCCACCCCGTCCCAGGCACAGCAGACAGAGGTAGCAACAAGCACCCCTAGGCACGGAACTTTCCAGCATCTCTCTAGTGCTAATTAGTCCCAGAACTCTCCAGCATCTGGGGCTAATGCTAGAGCAATCAGCAATCCACAGAGAGAACGCAGGTGCGCCCCTGGCCTGTGATGGACTAGTGGGTCCCCTCCCCTCACCTCACCTGTATGGCTTTCTTTCTTAGTCTAAAGTCACATGGCAGCATGGTGGTGTGATGTGGGGTGGGGAGCAAGTCAATGTACCATGTACCCCAGGAATTGCTGCCACTGCGGGCTTCCTGCCCCGGGCCAGTAAGCCTGGCCCAAGCCAGCAGTCCTGGTGTGAGTCCATGGGCCACATCCTGCTCCTCTTGATGCAATGGGACCTTGGCCATTGACTTCAATGATATCCTGTGCTGCACTGCAGGCAGGCCTGGACCAGACAGGGGGACAACAGACCCAGCCACCAAAGGCTCCAGCATTACTTAGCCGCTCGCAGATGTAGCATATTGAATCGCCAGCTGGCTGGCTGATGCTCCAGCATTACTCAGCTGCTCGCAGATGTAGCATATTGAATCGCCAGCTGGCTGGCTGATTCCCTGGCACGGTTAATCACAGCTCCTTTTCTCATCATCTATCCATTTAGGAGAGTTTATTATTAATCCTTCCATATGCATCAACTCTGTTAAGAACATAAGAGCAGCTATACTGGGTCAGGCCAAAGGCCCATCTAGCCCAGTGTCCTGTCTGCCCACAGTGGCTCAGAAGGAGTGAACAGAACAGGGAATCATCACGTGATCCCTTCCCTGTGACCCATTCCCAGCCCTTGACAAACAGAGGCGAGGGACACCATTCCTACCCCTCCTGGCTAATAAGTACTGATGGACCTAACCTTCAGGAATTTATATATTTCTTTTTTAAACCCTGTTAAAGTCCTGGTCTTCACAACCTCCTCTGGCAAGGAGTTCCACAAGTTGACTGCGTGCTGCACGAAGAAAAACTTCCTTTTGTTTGCTTTAAACCTGCTACCTATTAACTTCATTTGGTGACCCCTAGTTCTTATGTTATGGGAACAAGCCAATAACTTTTCCTTATTCACTTTCTCCACACCAGTCATGATTTTATAGATCTCTATCATATCCCACTTAGTCTCCTCTTTTCTATGCTGAAAAGTCCCAGTTCTTCCACCAATTACTTTCTGAACCAGGTCTTCGAATCCATGTTATCCTTGGTCATGTAGGATGACAGCTAGTGACCATCACTCTCAGCACCTGGGGTTTGTTTCAAGAGTTGTTAGAACTTAATAAGAGAAACAAAACAAAAAAACTCAAACCCCCAACAAACAACAAAAAACCCACCACCACCACCAAAAAGCAACAAAAACAACAAAGAACAAATCCCCCAAAAGCCTTGCCCTTTTAAGCCCTTTAAACAATCAGGTGTGAAAGCTCAAGGTTGCTTCACATAGAGAACAGAATATTTCTTTCCTATCTGCTTGGAAACATCTAACCGATTTTACACCCTTGTGGTTTTCTCACTTACCCCAGCTTGAATTATTGCTGAGAGCTAACACTAAAAGTTTAGTGCTGGGTTGTTGTAGCTGTGTCGGTCCCAGGATATTAGAGAGACCAGGTGGGTAAGAGAAAATCTTTTATTGGACCAACATCTGGTGGGGAGAGAGACAAGCTTTGAAACTTACACAGAGCTCTTCTTGAGCTCTGGGAAACACTCTCAGTGTCACAGCTAAATACAAGCTGGAACAGACTGTGTCGCACAGGTAGTTATCACATATTTCAAGGGACCAGTCAGACATCTCTCCACCTTGTATTTAGCTGTGACTCTCTTGTACTTTTCCCAGATTTGAAGAGGCGCTCTGTGTAAGTTGGTGTCTCTCACTAGCAGAATTTGGTCCAATAAAAGACATTACCTCCTGCACCTTTTCACTGAAAGTTTAGATCCGTTATGGCACTTCCCCCTTTCAGTCCCTAAATCCTTCTGAAAATCACTGGGGAGGGAGAATAAGGGCATTAAAATGATGGGAAAAGTTTTCATCTATTTCATGACTTGATGCTCCATCAAAAACAGGGACCTACAGAGCCACTTCTTTTCAGTAAACACCTCATTTGCAGGTTCACATTTCCCCTGATGTAACTTAAAACATATTGAATAATTAAAATAATATACTAAAAAAATCACAGGTGTGCTCAGGGTGTAGTGACTACCTCCCCTTTGTACACCCTTTGCTCCTCATTCATGTGGTCACACACACCTATGAAGAAAAAAAAAAAAAGATTGAGCCAGGTAGGAAAGGAACCAGTGGATATGAAACCACCTCTGGATACTGGAATGAAACCAGGAGCTGACCCAGGAAGGGAGCCATCTTGTTCAGTGTGTGCAGGGCCATCCTTAGGCATGGGCAGTGTATGCAGCGGTTTGGGGCACCTGAAAATTCGGGGCACCACTGGGACAGCAGGTAAGAGCGGGTCGGCTCCCACACCCCCAGCATGCGCTGCCGTCTCCTTAGGCAGGTTCACAGAGCTGAAGGTGCTGGTGTGGTGCAGACAGCATGAGGGAGAGGGTAGGGGAGCCTCTGCCTGGGTGCCTAGAAGTGGGTAGCTTGGTATCCTCTGCGGCCTTCCCCTGGACCGTGAGCCCGGGGCTGCCCCAGCATACCAAGCTTGCTGTGCCCCAGCGGTGGGAAGGGGAGGTCTCCTGGGGGCACCAGTTTCATAATACAGCACAAGGCCCCAGAAGGAGGGCCCTGAACCTGCTGACCAGCTCCCCAGACACTCTTGGCTACCTGAGGAGCCCTCGCCTGGCTGGGGCCACCCGCTGCCTGGCTCCTGCCGGCCTTGCTCTGCGCTGACCTGGGTGAGGGCCACCTCTGAGGGTGTCTTTGTGCTGCTCCCAGTCCTGGCTACTCTCTTTCTCTAGGGAGGAGCAACCCAAGCCAGTGCCCCCCCGGGCTGCCAGCCAGCCTCCTGCCCAGAGCGAGCCCTGGCTCAGGAAAGGCGCTGGGGTTTACCGAGCAGGGCTGCCCCACGCAGGGAAGCTACCTCGCAGGAGCCCGACGCCTGGACCAGAGGCGGGGG